ATGTGGAACGGAGCTTTGGGCCAAGAGCCAACTTTTGGTCCATCCTTCCATCCATCCATCCATTTTCTACCCTTTAATCCATTTCTGGGTCAGGGGGGTGGCAGTCAGAGATGCCACCCAAGTCTCATAGCACCAGCCCCTCACTGATCCTCTGCAGGTGGTGAGTCCACAGGAGGACGGCTGCTCTCTGAGTGTGAGCATAGCCTTGATCTTTCAGTGGGGGCTTTTTTGGGCAAAGTGGGGTTAAGTGTCTTGCCCAAGGACACAACAACAGCAGTCATCAGTGGGAGTCGATGGAGAAGGTGCAGAGGTGGGAATTGAACCCACAACCTTCTGGCCTTAAGGCCAATGCTCTACCAACTGAGCTACTGTCGCCCTGTGTTGGTCCATCCTGTAAAGACGTTTTTGAGAGGTCTGCTAACGCTATATGTTAGCATTGGCTAATTCTTCTTCTGGGTCCACCCCCATTGGCCCGGGGTGGTATTGCAGCATGTCAGCGCACGTCATTTTGGCCACTTTTGAGCTGGGACCCGCCCCCACTGAGTAGAGCACTATTTTTGGCCCATTAGTTAGATAGTTTGTTATTAATTATTAGTCTATGGTCTCAACAGTGTATAAATTAGCTTTGGCTCGTGATGCAAACAAGTTATAAAAGCAAAAATAGATATATAATAGGTTTGCTGAAAAAAGCATCATATTTTTGTAAATATAGAACTATTTACAATTGCACAGTAAGTACTATAGACATTTAACAGTGCAGGTTAGGAGGAACTAACTGTTGCCATAGCAATCATACAAATTGTACTAGATCCTGAAAATGAACAGGAAGTGTCTGCTCCTGATCATATTCAGCACTATTTCATCACTGTTCCTCTCTCCACCTGTACGTGATCCTCCTCATCTCTCGTGTGTCTATCCCAGACCAGCGGTGATCTGATAAGACTCGAGGATCTGCTGTTCACAGGCGTAGGGAGGGAGGGAGGTCGTCACGGTAACGGGTCCAAACTGGGAGAACAAAAGGATTTCCTCCACGGGCCCAGGAAGTGCTAATGTCACTCTCATGGCTGTAATTTGAGCCACCGCATCACATGAGAGCCTGTAGAGACGGAGCCAGAGAGAGGGGCGCTGATGGATACCAACACAGCACACAGGACATTGGGGCGGCTGGTCTCCATGTGAAACTATGGAAAAACTAATAAAATAATAGAATAATTGTGGTTTGATGGATTATTGTTGGTGTTTGACTTGTATGCACGCTTCAAGAACTCCAAATTTGTCATCCTTTTTTTTCTATGGATTTTTGGCCATAGAAAAGTCTGCCAAACATCTTGCACATGCTGGATTTTATTTTGTATTTTAATGTTTGATTCATCTTTGATCCTTGAGAATACCCTAATTATTTCTTTTTGGGGCTGAATTTTGATGACTTCTCATAACTTAACCAACCCTGGGTCATTTTAGATCATTAGGATATTTTTCTTATTCATTCTCTTTTTAATCACTATTGTGGGCCATTTTGACTCAAGGGGAGCATAAGAGTGGAACATGCACAAGATATACAAACAGTAACATTTTGGATTAGCCCTCACTAATTAACAGCTAATTAAGCACTAATTACTTTACCTTACCCTCATCCCACATGGGTCTGTGGGAGCAGAACCCTCTCTCAAAGTGGACGTCCCGAGGTTTCTCACTTCTCCCTCTGGGTTTCCAGTGTTTCCTGGCCGATGCAGGAGGGTCTGTGAGTCTGTGAGGTCCAACTTGAAAGGACACTCCACATTCAACACTTTGGTCTCTGCCCCTTTTGGACCAATACCAATGTGATTTCTGTTCTGTTGTTTGTGTTTGAACTCTTTGATTTTCTGATCTGTGTTGGTGAATTCAAAGCTTGTGTAAAGTCCTCTGAGATAATTACTGTTGTGAGTTTGGGCACTTCAAGTTTACATTGAAATGAATTGGAAAGTGTCAGTTTGTAGTTAGTTCGATGTTGATTAAGGCCATGTAGAAAAGGGAATTTCTACTTTGTTTCTCTTTGGATGATTAAAGCTGTGTTTTTACCAATAAAAGACAAATTACACTTATTAATTTAAAAAATTGGCTCATTCCCAATCATGAAGTCGCACATAACTGTTTCAATTTCTTTACAAACAGTTCTCACTGTTTAATCTGTGCAATCATTTGAAATAATGTCAAAATGGTTGCACTCTCATTTCTCAGCAAGAAGGTCATGAGTTCGAATCCCAGTCAGAAGGAGGCGTTTCTGTTTGGAGTTTGCGTGTTCGCCCTTTGTCTGCGTAGGTTCCCCCTGCCTTGAATACGAACATCTATGGCTTTTAAATCATAAAATTTTAAGGATAATGATAATAATTTTATTTAAAAGCGCCTTTCAAATCGCCCAAGCACACTGTAAAAACATGGTTAAATGTGCCGAAATGAACCGAAAACAACAGAACTGGACAAAGGCATTTACATGTCTCCTCGTGTCTGTGTAGGTTTCCTCCAGGTGCTCCAGTTTCCCCTACCACTAAAAACATGTACAGTAGTTCTGGCATGTGCCCCCTGTACGGCACCTGTGTGGAGTCAGAGACAAATGCAAACAATTGTAAAGTGCTTTGTGACTCTGGTCTGTGAAAGGCCCTACATCAATAAATATTGCTACTTACTACTTACACTGTCACTTTACTGAGTCACTTTGTCCCAGACCCTCATCCTACAGATTTATACACACAAACTGTACAACTATATATTGTTTGGACTAGAATATGCATAATTCAATACTTTCTTTTCTGTTATGCTTAGATTTGATATTATTTCCAGTACAGAGTTGTTCATTTATCTTGTGCTGTGTGCTCCTCGTTCCTACTGATCTGTAACTGCTGATGCAACACTGACATTTCCCCACTGTGGGACCAATAATCAATCTCTTCATCTCAATCTTAATCTATTTTGGTTTGCAATGGGATCGTTAAAACGTCTCTTTTGTAAATATACTGCATCATCTTGAATATAGCCTCAAGTGTTGTTCATGAAACTTCAGACTTAACCGTGATGAGTTAATCCATAAATTGACTATAACACACACAAGATGTTTTTATTATTGTCTGAAAAGGAACTAGTTTACCGCACAGTTTACCAAGAGAATCTGGAGTCGGCCATCACATAAGAGGAGTTTTAATGTAGAATTGTTTTCCAGAGAGAGGGTCCCTTGGCTTTAAGCAGCAGCAGATTAGTGTCTGCTGGAGCATTAGCCTCTCTCTCAACCGTCTGACTTTGAAACCTCACAGGAGATCTAATAATACACCAACCGATATGAGAGAGAAAAGTTTTTGCAATCCACAAGATAAACGGCATTTGGATTGACAAGGCTGTCTCTGTAGAAGCACAGGTTAAGTTGTAGTTGACTTACTAAAGGAACTTCTTCTGATGAAATTGAAGAAGTGATTTTCCAGTATAGTAGAGCACGGATGAATTTGGGCCTTGAATACAAATATCTATGGCTTTTAAAATATACAAGTTTAAGGATAGTGATAATTATACATTTTTAGTTAAAAGTCCAGTGTGAGATTAATACAGTCTACTGTATTTTATCTTAAAAGCGCCTTTCAAAACACCCAATGACACTGTACAAACATGGTTAAATGTGCAGTTTCAAACATAACAAAAACAAAAGCTTTGGGCCAAGAGCCAACTTTTGGACCATCCTGTAAAGAGGCTAATGCTATATGTTAGCATTGGCTAATTCTTATTATGGGTCCACCCCCATCGGCCCAGGGTGGTATTGCAAGCATGTCAGCGCACGTCATTTTGGCCACTTTTGAGCCGTAAACACGTCCCATTGGTTCGTTGGGGATGAACGAATCCCATTGGTTTATTTTTATCAGCTCGCTCCAAAATATTTTTTATTAATTTATGGAGACTAAAGGCATCTGGTCAATTCCATTACTATTTGAAAACACATGATAACTTGACTACCTTAAGGGTTTAGGGACGTTTTCCCACAATATTTAAAAAAATGCATCTGGAAAAAATCACTGACTGCATCTTTAATCAAAACCGAAAACAACAGAACTGGACTAAAGTGTTGCGCTGCAAACCGTGACAAAATATGTAACTATAATAAATGCTTCAATCAAGTAATTTTATCTTAATTTGAGTATATTTTTGAGTATACCTTTTAAGGGCTGTTGCAATTTATGTCTCATTTCAAGGAGGACATTTCTTAAATTTTAGTGTATCTTTTTACAACAAGACATTTTTGCTTGTTCCATTGGCAAATATTTTTAGTCAGTCAAAATGTGCTCAAACTAAGATAAAAAAAAAAACACTTAATTCAAGCATTTATTACCTTATATTTTGTTACTTTTTGCAGTGTTGGGTGACTGCACTGGAAAAAATCTCTTGAAAAAATATATGAAAATAAGTAAATTAAAACACTCTCACCCAACACCTCTCCCCACTTGCTCTGTACTGAGGGCATCAATCCATTTATTTTTTATTTTTGAGCGGAATAAACTTTGAACATGTTTTTAATTCCTCTGGTCGAACCTTCCAAAGAGTGTTTCCACGCACCTGAGATATTCATTGATTTTAAAGTAGTTCTAAATATACAGTAGGCACAGATATTATTTGGCTTCTTCTCAGTCACTACATATGATCCAGGAGCCTTTTCCTCCAGAGGAAATGAAACATTTTTAAAATGCCCTGTAAAAAAATAATTAAAAAAATAATTAAAAAGATACATACACCAAAGAAAATTGCTCCCATTAGACGATGGACTTGAACAAACTACCCGATACACAGTGTCAGTAGCAGAGATGATTCAAGTCCCTCAGTTTTAAGCCCTTTGCTAAAAAAAAAAAAAGAATTATTCAAAATAAACATAAACATCCTTTATTCGTCCCACAGTGAGAAATGTCAGTGTTGCATCAGCAGTTACAGAACAGAGGAATTGTAGTCAACTGGAAGAAAAAAGTAACTTTCTCTTGTGCTGTGTCTCACAGGGACACGCCACAGACCAACGACAACTCGGCCAAGACCCCACGCTCCAGAACCTCGTCCCGGTTCCCACGCCTCGGCCGCAACCGCAACCAGGACCCCCGGCCCGAGCCTCAGAGCGGGGATCTCTAACAGCTCCGCCAGGCCCCTCCAGTCCAGGTCCCTACAAGCTTCTCTAGGCTCCTCTACTCTTCGCTAGGCTCCTCCTGGTCCCTCTTCATCCCTTTAGGCTCCTCCAGGCCCCTTTTGACCTCTTCAAGCTCCGACAAGTTCTTCTAGGCTCCTCCAGTCCTCTCAAGGCTCCTCCAGACTCCTCTAGGCTCCTCCAGTCCTCTCAAGGCTCCTCCAGACTCCTCTAGGCTCCTCCAGTCCTCTCAAGGCTCCTACACGCTCCCCCAGGCTCCTCTAAGCTCCTCCAGACTCCTACATGCTCCTCTAGGCTCCTCCAGGCCAAAGACTGTTACGAGGCCTTCGTGGACCTTCCAATCTCCAAATCCAAGGTGACAAAACAACAAAAAGACGTTGGGATTCTAACCTTGACGGACAAATGGATCAGTGTTAAAGGACCCACAAACAGCTCTGATTACCTCAAACCCATCACCCACAGATGAGCTATATACACAATATCAAATGTTTCTTACTAGTTTTGTAGCCGGCGTACGATGGTGCCTACACGGTGTGTCTTTGCCGCTTCTCGCTCCAAGAAGATTCCAGAAAAAGGAAGTGAAATGCAGTGATTGTTGTCTGGTTTATTGTGCCAACGTAGATTTCGAACAATGACTATTCTTGTGTGGACCACTAGACGAAGGGCATTCCACGCTTTAGTAAGTACTGTATGTAACCATGGCAACAGAGATTGTGAGTACTGTAGGGAAAAGGAGAAAAAAAAGGAAGAGAATGAAATTTCATGCGCTGGTGTTTAGTCTCATTGAGTAAAAAGGTATGATTTCTTCTATAAAAGATGTGTTTTATACGCTGCCTGCCGCTGTTTTCTATATTTAATCATTGATAATCAACAGTGTTTTTTCTTTATTACCTGATGACTATTTTTCAATCAATCAGTCAAGTTTATTTATAAAGCACAATCCATGCGGTGCAAACCCAAAGTGCTTTACAAAGATGTACAATCATACACATTTACAAACGTTATAAAACATAAAAGGTAAAACATTGATACAATACAAATACAATAATGAATGTCAGAATTAAAACTGTTAAAGCTACACAAAATATATAAAACTCGAGGAGGAGGCCAGTCCCTGTGCTCCTCAGAGTCCCAGCAGGAGGCCAGTCCCTGTGCTCCTCAGAGTCCCAGCAGGAGGCCAGTCCCTGTGCTCCTCAGAGTCTAAGCAGGAGGCCTGTCCCTGTGCTTCTCAGAGTCCCAGCAGGAGGCCAGTCCCTGTGCTTCTCAGAGTCCCAGCAGGAGGCCAATCCCTGTGCTCCTCAGAGTCTTAGTTGGGTCATTTGGAAGTACTCAGATATACCTTGGTGCGAGGCCATGGAGAGACAGCTGTTTTAAAGTCTATTCTCTGAGCCACAGGAGCCAGTGCAGAGACCTGAGAACTGGACTAATGATAGTACTTCCTGGTTCAAGTCGGGACTCGAGCTGCAGCATTTTTAATAAACTGCAGTGGTTTTTCAGCTCGTTTGGAGAGACCAGTGAGCAGTCGTTAGACACATGCCCATCCATCCATTATCTTCCCCTTAATCCATTTCTGGGTCGGGGGTGTTAGCAATCAGCTGCCACCCAGTACACAGAGCACCAGCCCCTCACTGTTCCTCCTGCAGGTGCTGAGTCCACAGGAGCTGAGATCTTCCAGCGGGGGCTTCAGGCAAAGTGGGGTTAATTGTCTTGCCCAAGGACACAACAACAGCAGACATCAGTGGGAGTCGGTGGATAAAGTCTTGTGGTGGGATCAGGCTCAAAGACCAGTGCTCTACGACTCATGTGTACTTATTTATTTATTCATGTATTTGATAGGGATATAAAACCAATGTAAATATGCCGGATTATACTGTAGCTACCGAGCTAGTTTTCATCCGTAGTCCCTAGGGCAGGAAAATACAATACAGACAACACAGGGGAAAGTGAAGAGTCTAGTGGTCACGTGACTGGTTTCTTTTCAGCCATACAGCTTTACAAAGTTTGTCTCGTCAAACAACTCTTCAAATCCAGACCAAACACGTAATATTTGAAAAGCAGACAACAATGATGTAAGGTAGAATGTAGAACGCCTCCACTGAGCTGAAAATGGACGTGTATTTTGGATGGCTGCTTTTGTTCGCCTCGAGCATTTTACGGTGGACTAAATCGGACAATGATGGAGACATTTAATTTGTCACATTACATAAGGAGCCTGGCTACATTTTGCAAACCTAATTGGGGTTAAAAAGGCATATTCGCATTATCACGCGTTGTGTTCCGAGTCTAAAAATGGCTTTGTATGTTTAGCGCTCCACAAAACAAAGGCGATGTGTGAGAAAGAGGAAGAACAAAAACAAATCAGATTTATGAGTGTTTGAGGTTGATTAAAGCTGGAGTCTTTCTGCTGAGACCTGGACCAAAGCACAAGTGGAAAGTGCTGCCAACGAAGTGTAATTAAAGGGAAATATCAGGCCAAAATGTTTTTACACACTCAAAAGTAGCTGGTAAAGCGATTGATGCGTTCGGTTTTTGTTTTTTCTTGATTTCTCATCCACGATTGCTTTACGATGCCATACCAACAATTTAGATTGATAATAAGTGGTCTGATTTGTTCACGCAACAGTGCATCCATCATCACATTTACTGTAATGTCTGGACTGTAAGCCGCTAATTCTAGTTCTTTTAACCCTGCAGATCATATTGCAGCTAATATATACGTACAACATATGTGTATTTTCATTGTTGTAGAGGCGGGCTATCGTCAGAGCAGAGTTTATGGACTTTACTGTAAGTCAAAACAGATGAAGGTGAATGAGTCGTGGAAGCTAAACCTCTTCATAAAATCATGTGTCCAGTTAAAACAGTCGTCTCTGCTTCATTACATCATGAAAACCTGCGGCTTATATTCAGGTGCGGTCTATCTGTGGGCAACATTATATTTTATAATGTATATAGGTGCGGCTTATTTACAGGTGTGTGTTATAGTCCGGTAAGTACTGTAACTTCAAAGATTATATTTGTAACTTTTACTTAATCAGACTGTGTGAACTCATGTTAGATATCGCTAATAACATCTCTTTTCAAAAGCTTAACTAGCCATTGACATACATTTCTATGACGGTAAATTGAATATTGAGATAGACAATGCTGACAATAATAATAATAAGTAGTCACAGCTGTCCTGGGGCACACTGACAGAAGTGAGGAAACTGGTATGTGCCATCGGCCCCTCCCACCACCAACTTTTCACCCACACATACCATTCTAATCTACCTGAAGTGTCTTGCCTAAGGACACAACAACAGTCTGGCACTTTACAGCCACCCCACTGTGGCACCTGCTGTTCCCGGAGGTCTCCCATCATAGGACAAACTAGGCCCTGCCCTGCTTAGCCTACAGATATGGCCACACATTCGAAACACATATCCACAGGTGTCACAGACCAGTATCCTTTAGCTTTACATGAACAACTAGCGTAGTTCAGCAGCACCCATTCAGAATACGGGGCCGTGTCAGCCTCACATATCCTGGGTCGTGCGTAGGTAGAACGAGCAAATGTTTTCACCAACTTGCTTCAACTTGATGTTATGTTGACGGGAAATAACCAGCGAAACCTATAATCACTCCAGACGTGTCAAAATAAAACTGCGAACGCACACATGATACTGTCAAGTGTAATATCCGTCTGAATCTTCTTATCTCCTCCTTGCTCCTTCCACCATTGTTTCAGTCTCTTTCGTTGCTCATTTTAAGGCTGTTGTATAAATTGCAGATTTCTTGACTTTGTGCGGATGACATGGACGAGATGGAGAGCCTGGTTTAAACAAGGTTGCTGTATAAGATTCTCCATGCGGTGCACAGAGGTGGGCTCTATTGTAATGCTAATAACAACTGGGAAATACAGTGAGCTGGTGGAGAATGGATGGAAATGGACTTGGCATGTGCTTCATCATGTATGCTCAAAGATTAACACAACGGAAAATGAATTCATTACAGTTGCTGTATAAGAAAGTAAGAGAGAAAAGCAGTCAGGAGTTCAAGTGTATAAAGTGTGTGGTGAGGAGTATAGAAAGTATTGAAGGGAGTATAGGAAGTATTGAAGCAGCCAAGACATAATCCAGAAGTTAAAGCTTGGTTGAAAAGCATTGGTCCAAAGTAGTTTCAAAGTGGCTTAAGGACAGAGTTGTGGAGTGGGCATCACAAAGCCCTGTCTCCCAGAAAAGGAGTGGGCAGATCTGAAAAGGTTGTGTGAGAGCGACAACGAAACCTGACTCAGTTACACAAGTTCTGTCTGAGGAATGAGCCAGAGTTCAAAGACTTTTGTGAGAAGTCTGGAAGGATCCCTGAAACTATTCAACCGTTTTGGGAAATATGGAAGCTTCTGACTTTGTTCAACGTAATAGAAACATATTTCGCCGTCTTTTATGGTGTTTGTACATTTACAGTTTACAGTTTACATCCTCCAAACAGATTCCAGTGGGTCACGGGTTATTGCGGGTAAAGTATAAATACTTAAAGAAGCAGCTCTATTTTTTAAGGCTGTAAAACTCCTCACACGCACGTTATACACTTTTCACAACATCTGAACTGACAACTGCTGAAGTGCAAATGCATGGATAAAAAATGGTTTGTTGTTAATCTGTGTGCTACTGCAGCTGTCAAAAGCCGCGGACCACACTGAGGGGCAGGAGCAGGACTGAGGACTATGGAAAGACCGCAGTCGTCCTCTGAACTAATCCTCGCGGTGCACACAAGACACAAAAGTTCGCCTCTGACTTTCAATAAAGGTCAATGTCCTGTTACACTGGCGGCTATTTGGCAAATTCTGCTTGGTTGCCAACCACCGTGGGTTTGATTCCACCTCTAGTCTTTCTGTGTGGAGATTGCCTTTTCTCCCCATGTCCGTGTAGGTTTCCTCCAGGTGCTCCAGTCTCCTCCAGGTGCTCCGGTTTCCTCCATGTGCTCTGGTTTCCTCCAGGTGCTCCAGTCTCCTCCAGGTGCTCCGATTTCCTCCAGGTGCTTCGGTTTCCTTCGTGTGCTCCGGTTTCCTCCAGGTGCTCCGGTTTCCTCCAGGTGCTCCGGTGAGGTGCTCCGGTTTCCTCCAGGTGCTCCGGTTTCCTCCATGTGCTCTGGTTTCCTCCAGGTGCTCCGGTTTCCTCCATGTGCTCCGGTTTCCTCCTAGTGCTCCGGTTTCCTCCTGGTTCTACGGTTTCCTCCAGGTGCTCCGGTTTCCTCCTGGTTTTACGGTTTCCTCCAGGTGCTACGGTTTCCTCCCTGTTTCTCCGGTTTCCTCCTGGTTCTCCGGTTTCCTCTTTGGTTCCAGTTTCCTCCAGGTGCTACGGTTTGTCCTACCACCAAAAACATGTACAATAGTTCTGACACGTGCCTCTGTAGAAGACCTCGCTCCCATCTCCGTGGGGAGTCAGAGACAACTGCCACAAAATGTAGTAAAGTGCTGTGACTCTGGTCTGTGAAAGGCACTGTTTAAATAAAGACTTACAGAGACGTCACTGCGTTAAAGCCAGTTTCTGCAAATGACATTTTCACTTCTTTCAAAAGTGAGTTCATCATTTTATCTTCAGATGTTTTCCTCTTTCTGCTCATTTAAATCTATAAATATCAAAGTCTTCACCGGACTTTGTGATGAAATCTCGTTCATGCAGCTTTTCCACGTCTCATTTCATGTTTTTTTATTTGAATGACTCCAGACATGACTCAGACGTTTCCTTTTGAGCCTCAGAAAGACCTTTTCAACGAGAGTAAGTAAGTCATGTTTATCTGTATAGCACATATTTACAAACCAAGGTCCCACAAAGCGCTTTACAATGTTCAGAGTTTAGATATTGTTCCATGTTCTCTACTTCCAGTGAGACGCCGAACACACTGGACCATGAAAGCCTCCGACCAAACACCACCCACACTCACTCGTTACATTCTATTGTGCTTGTTTTTAGTTCTGGAGGAAAACGAAGCAGACACAGGGACAAAAGGCAAACTCTACTCTGAAAGACGCTGTTCCGACTGGGATTCGAACCCAGGACCTTCTTACTGAGAAGCCAGAGTCACTGCGTCGCCACAAAAAAAATTGACAGAGATAGTTTCAACAAAAAACATCTGTTCATACTTAAGTTATTCTATTTAGACTTTGTTAACGACACACATGTGAGCACAGGATCCATACTTTTAGTTCTCGTTTATAAACAGCTGCTTAAGTGATAATTTGTGTATAATTTATGGTTAATTAGCTTAAAATTGTTATTTATTAAGCACTTATTAGTCCTTTTTCTACATGGCCTTATTCTACATCTAACTAACCACTAAATGACAATGAGGGTAATAGAGTTAGATGACACTAATTAGCATTTTTTTCCTGGTAATTTTCAAGGACTAATCTAAAGTGTTACCAAACATCTACCGTTGGTGCACTTTGTAAAATGTCTGAGCAAAATACTGTCATGTTTATTTATATAGAACCTTTTACAAACCAAAGTCACAAAGAGCTTCTCAGTTGTCTTGAGTATTGTACATAAGGGAAATGAGTAGAACACAGATCATTATCGGAAAATAGTTAACGGCACGGAGGGGCCTGTGTAGTAACCGCTAGGCTAGCTACTTTAAAACTAGAACTCTCTGGAACTACATGAAAACTGAACAAAGAATTGTGAACATCAGCGATGAGTGACCCAAACATAAACTCAACCTACACCCATAACCAGATCCTATACAAATGCGTCCAAAAATGTTTTAGTAATGTTAATGGCTACTTCCGGGTTTACAGAGGTCGAATTAAAGCAGTATTTTTGTCATGAAAACACAAACAGATCATTCTTAAAACCCCTGTGCACATGTGTTAAGGATGGAAAATGTATTATCCGATTAACATTTAACATTAACATTTGTTTATTGAGCGTGGCTAGCAAAAAATAATGACTAGAATAATTTTAAATTACATTCAAATCAATGGAGCGTTCAACTGCTGCTGTGAGGCGCCGTAATAATATTAATAATAAATCGGTTTTATATAGCGCTTTTTTGGACACTCACAGACGCTTCACATGTCATTCTTTCACTCCATACACGGTGGTGATAAACTACTACTGTAGCCACAGTTGCCCTGGGGCACACTGACAGAAGCGAGGCAACCAGTATGTGCCATCGTCCTCTCCGACCACCACCAACCATTCACACACACACCAGACTCATTCTAGGCAATGGGGGTAAAGTGTCTTGCCTAAGGACACAACAGCAGTTTGGCACTTTACAGCCACAGCCGCCCCACTGTGGCACCTGGTGTTCCCAGAGGTTAAGTGTATTGCCTAAGGACACAACGACAGCACACAGTGGGAGTCGGTGGAGACAGTTTTGTGGTGGGCTCGAACCCACGACCTTCTGGCTCAAAGGCCAATGCTCTACCAACTGAGCTACTATCGCTCTGTATAAAACATGTTTTTATTTAAACTGGAGCACGCGGAGGAAATCTACGCAGACACGGGGAGAACATGCAAACTCCACATAGAAAGCCCAGCGCTAACCACTGCGCCACGTGCTGCCCTAACTACTTCTGTGTTTCTCTCTCCCCCTCACAGGCCTCTCTCTCCTCCTATCCTCTCGCCCTGTCGCTCGCCCCTGCTCCGTCATACAGTTTTCCCTTGTCTGTCCGATCACCACTTCTCATTGTCAGTTGGCGGCTCTCCCTTCGAGACCCGGCCCGCCTGGCACTCTGGATTTACTCAGCCTGTCAGAGTCTGCTGCTATTTATTAGCTGTTTAGCACAAGACAAAGGAGAACAGCAAAGAACAGCCCCGTGGAGACCTGCTTTCAACCCATCATCCTGAACTGCTGCTGCTGCGGCTGCGGCGGAATTTTAATATTCGGAGAAACAAGATCTGGCTTCTCAACGTTTTCGCAATGAGTCAGTTTCATTGCGTTATATTAAACACGATTTGAACTCTTTGTGATCGCAGAAAAAGGAAAGGGCAGAGCAGACAGAAATATACTGTATTGATCTTGGTTGGAGAAATTCAGGAATCCAGCAGGAGTCCAACAAGTAAATACATAACTCTGTAGTTACTAACCATAATACTAGCTGCTATATCCTCTGGTCGATGTCTGCGGTCTGTTTGGTTCTGACCATTGTCTCTGCTCTGGTTCAGACTGAAAATATTAGCATTCCTCCAGTAGATTCATGCTTGATCTGTTTGGTTGGGACCGTGAATCCTCTCAGCTCTGGGCTGGATCAGCGTAAAACTATAAACACTTGACTGCAGTAACATTTACAGCTAGAACAAAATCGAGAAAAATAACGATTGTATAACACAAAACAACACCAGCCAGGGCTCTGAGGTCTGTGGATCAGAACCTCCGGATGGTTCCACGCACTCGCTTCAGGACCAGAGGAGACCGGTCCTTCCAGGCTGTTGCTCCCAAGCTTTGGAACGTTCTCCCGCTCTCTCTGCGTTCTATAGAGTCTGCTGAGTCCTTCAAAAGTCAACCCAAAACACATTTATTTGTTCTGGCTTTTGCATGATTTTGTCTTGCTGTTATTTACATGGTCGTCTTGGCTTTTAAAAATGTGTATGTCTATTTTTTTCATATCTGTTTTTTATACTTTGTGAAGCGCTCTGTGACCCTGGTCTGTGAAGGGCGCTTTATCAATAAAGTTTACTTACTGACCTACTACTGACAACTGTT